TTTACACAGTAATGGGTCGAAGTATATTCTCCAAAGAAGAGGAGAAATTACTTCTCCTTGGTCTATGCCTCTTTCAGAACAGAAACCCTTTGTTAAGCCGAACTTGGTAATGACTTTAACCTCTCTGTTTGTGAACATGTTAACTAGAAATTTTTTAAGTTTTTCTGAGATCTTAATTCTTTTTAATGTGAGTTGAAGCCTCTTAAGATCCACTGTGTCGAATGCTTTTTTAATATCTAAAAGGGTTATCTACATTTCTTTGTTTTCTTGTTTCGCCGCTTCTATTAGAGCATTCATAATATGAATAGGATCCTGGGTACATTCTTCTTGTAACTCCGCAAAGTTTGGCCCCCTAAGGATACTATGGTGTATAATAATATTACTTAGTCTTCGTTGGATGATTCTTATAAGTTCTTTTCTTGCTGCTTCAAGTAGTATAATCGGTCTTGTATTACCAAGCAGTAGATCCCATTCTGATAACTTTGAAATAGAAAAAATCATCCCAATTTTCTACTTTTTTGGCATTATTCCTTTCTCTAAAATTCTGTTGAGCAGCCTTAAAAGAAGATTTGTGGCTTTTTCCCTAGTTTTTTCAGAATCGTGTATCCTATATTTGATAACTCTGGAGCTGATTTGTTGAAGGTTTTTTGAAGCATTTCTTTCTATTTCTCTAACTTGATTTCATCTAGAATGTTATTGTACCAATTCTGTTGGATAAAGAAAAGTGGTGTGTATTCTTCTTTCCATATTTCTTTTTTCTTCTCAGGAACTCGAGAGTTTTCTTTGAATTGTTTTGTAAAGTGTGCATTAACCTCTTTTTTGACTTCATTAGATTCGTGAATGAGTTCTTTCTTTTCTGATATTGGATCTGTTGTAATAAGAATTCTTTCTATTACAATTTTGTTCTATGGTCTTTCTAGGATACTGTTGAGCATTTTCTTTTCTTCATGTCCGATCATCCCAAATCTTCTTTCGATATTATTTCTTATTTTTTTTCTTGTTCAATTTTTTGTTCTGAGGACATTTTCTTTTCTATTATTTTAATTCACCCTTTGAGGTCCTCAATCTACTGTTCTGACTACCTTTTTCCAATCGTTTGAATTTCAGTATCATTGTTCAAGTTTACTTGTTCAATTTGAATATTTAAAGAGGTTTGGTCTATGGGGTTGATTTCAGTATTTAGGTTTATATGTCCTATTTGGTCTATTCTTCTTAGCTGCTTAATCCACTTGTATCTTAGATTCCATATAATTTGTTTTTGCTTTTCTTCTGTGGTGTTCTGGATCTTCTTGTATGGAATTGTTTTGTTTGCAGCTTTGTTTATTAGTTCTGCTAGTTTTTTCCATACTTCGTTTATCTAGTCTTCTTTTGACAAACTAGGTGTTTCAATTTCTCTTTTCGATTCTTTATTACAAAATTCCTCAATATACTTCTCTAGAAGAGAAATAAAATTTTCCCAATTCTCTTTAGTCATTTTATCATATAGATATACTTTACGATAACCAAAATTTTTCTGTCTTTGCTAGGCAATTGAGTTTACGTAGAGTATGGGGCTTAGTAGTAGTTTTGTCCATATCAGGTTGTGATCACTACCTGTGATGAGATCCATTAGTTCCACATCACTATCTATTATGAGTTCTTTTAATTCTGTATCTAACCATATATGTCTATTTTTGAGCAAGATTTGGAGTTGGCCCATGTTGCTTTGAAGATCTGTGGATTAATAAGAATATATGCTTCTTTAAAGCCTACTTATTGTAGCCATCTTATAATCAGGAGTTTGCAATGTTTGTTCTCTTGTATAACTTCTCCTATTCTAACGTTCTGAGTAATACCTGTTCCAACATCTAATTCTGTATTAAAATCACCTTCTATAACTATTCTTGTGTTTAGTTTGCTTTTGGTGATATCTTCTGTTAATTATTGCTGTATTATTTTCTTTGTACTTTTATTGCTTGGTGGAAAATAAACTATCTATATAACTAGTATTATTTTTTTGAATCTGAATATTGCTTTTAATGAATAAGCATCTTTTGCTATTATCTCTGTAAGGTGAGTTTGCCACTCTTTTCTTACTAGTAATCCTACCTCGGAGCCTTTTCTTTTTTCTATAATATCTTTGATCCAGAAAGCTCTATAGTGTTGCCAGTTAACCTCAAAGAAAACTGCTTCTCTTGTACTTATGTTTGTTTCAGTTATTCCTATTGTATCTAAATTTTCTTCGACTCCATAATCTATTAGCTCTTGCAGTTTTGTTCTATTTCTCTTAAGGCCATTAATATTATAGAAGCCTATTTTTACTTGTTCGAATCTTTCTTCTATTCTATTATCTTGTTTTATATTTTCTGGTGCTAAATCTAATTCTGGATCAGTTATGAGGGCGTTGTTAGTTATCTTAAGTGGTGTTCGCCCCAACAAGCTATATTGCTTGTCTGAATTTGTTAATACAACTGTAGCGCCCTTAGAAGAAGTTGGGAACTGGAGTCCCCTGTTTTTCTTCAATTTTTTGTAACCTATTCAAGATTTGCTCCAAAATGCTACTTTGCATTTCACTTTTGACTATGAGATTAACTCTTGGCTTATTGTATTCTAAACTATATGGTCTAGCCTTTTTGTAGCGATTTTCATCCTGGGGCATTCCAGTTTTGTATTTTTTTTGCTTTTATCTTTTTTTGCTTATTTCTATCTTGTTCAAACCCATAGCTGTTATGTTTTCTAGGCTTCTAAGTAGTTTTCTGTTTTTGCTTCGAGGTCTGTGAATGCTATTAGTTCTACTGCTATCTGAGTTGGTGCTATAAATAGAATTAAGTTTTCTAGTCTCGTCTGGCTATTTAGTAAGCATGCCCTTGGATAGGTTTTTTTCCTTATATATTTCTGTTTCATTTCTTACTCTTTTTCCTTTATTTTGGTTATTATTTTTTTTTTTATACTGAAACATGCCATATAAGAGATTTCTTCTATTTGGGTCTTCTGTAGCTAAGTGCCATTTAAGTTTGGTATTGAAGTAATATAAGATGTAGCTTTGGGCTAATAAAAGGTCCTCCTTTGATTTGAAATATAAATGGGCTCTTTTTCTTTGATTTTCATTTCAGTTGTAAAGGATATGAACTGCTTGAACTCTATACTTTTTAAGCTGCTATAAGAGAAGGCTGTCATATGCTGATATTGAAATATTTGAAATAGTGCCTTTGTAGTTGTTCCTTGTTTCTATTTCAGCAATATTGAACTTGCCTGATGTGGTTCTGTACGTTTTACCTTGTTTTAAATGAATTGACCACTCTTCTTTTAGAGATTTTTCTCTTTGTTCTGAGTTTAGCATCATTTTAATACATGCTGTCTTCATTCTGAAATTTTGTTGCTATGCCATAACAGTTGCTGTACCAAAGACGTTCAGATAAAACTTTATTACTGATGCCTTTATATCTTTTGGAAGGTTCCAAATCGTGAAGAGAAAAGTAGGTGAATCAGGGACTTTTTGATGCAAGATCTTGTTTTCTGGTACCCAAGCTGAGTTGTATATGTCTTCATGTTGTTTAGATCTCTTGTGACTTAATTGCTTAAATGATTTTGCATCTGTTTGCAGTTCCTCTTTTATAAGTTCTTCCAGTCCATAATCAAAAATGCCACACTCTTTTTTAACTAGTATATCTTTAACTAGTTTTTAGTAGTCTTTTGAAGCAGGTGTTGGTGCTTCTTGTTCTGCCATATTTCTCTTACGAGGATTGTCTTGTAATTCTAATTCTATATTGTTAACAATGCTCTTAGTTTCAATAGATGGTGTTGCTAGAGTAGTTTCTATTGGGAGTAGCTCCACTTTGACTTCATTTTTATTTAGCACTATCTTGAGCTTACTTTTATATTCCATATCGATATTGGTTGCTTTAGAGAACACAGTTGGATATACAATTAAGTCTTCCATTAAAGAAGGTTCAATTTTAACTTTAGTATTGCTTTCTTGGAAGTAGTTTTCCTTTG